TACACCTCTACTTCCATCTCAGAAAACCACTCTACAGGATGCTGAAGATCCCACTACATTGGAGGTCACAAAGTAAATTAGTGCTGGTATTTCACTGCTCTGCATTCATTAAAAGAAAAAAAAGCTTAGTAGGAATCACATGAGACTTGCCACTATAAAAGTTATAAAATTTAGGAGAGATGTCTACATTAGTGCACACCAATAATTCACTAAGAACATATGCTTCGAATGGTTTAAAATAATGAAAGCTGTAGTCTATTGTTGACAGCAATACCATTCCTACTTTATTCACTGCTGCACTCCATCACAAAAGTGTATCAATTTTTTTTTTTCCTCATGATTATTCCTTCCAATGATCTTTATTTTTTTTCCTTAAAATAACAAAACATGAAACCACCTTGATACCAACAGAGGTATCACCAACACAACACCAACAGAGGTGCTCTCTCAGCCTGCTAGTTTCTCCACAATTGTCATACCTGTTAAAGGGCACTTGACTCTCTGAATTACAAAGATGCTTTTAAAGGCAGGCCAGATTGTAAATATATTCCTGAAAACCAGCACTTTGGATTCCTATCCCTATCTCTAAAGGAAAAATTGTTTTTGTCTATAGATGTAACTTTGATTTACTCGAGTTTTACAATCCTGATAAAGAAAGGAGAATGTTGTTTTAAGCAGGTAGAGGCAGCTAAAGCTAAGCTGTTCCACATTACTCTAACAGTCTCATATCAACAGTGAGTGAGTGAAATTCACTAGAATTTCTTCTTAGACTTGTCAGCAAATACAAGATATATGCCTTTTCCCAAGTGAATAGATATTTTGGAGAAAAAAAAGGTTTAGAGTGAATTAAAGTAAACATATTTGATCTAAAAAATAAACTGAAATTATTTCTATTTTACACATTAGAACCCTAACATATGACCCTTTGTACAATTTGGTTTTATTTGTCAAATGAGCTGGTAACTCCTGATAATTTTTTGCTTACCAAATCTGTTAATGCCAAATTTACAGAGGTAACCCACAGAACAGCCAAAGAGGAAGATGTTTTCTCCTTCTGAGCATTAATAAGGCCTACTTCATCCTGTAGCTGTGTAGAAAAGGTTTTAAGCAGGTCTTACTTTGTAATACTTAGGGCCTTAATCTACAAATTTTCATTGTAATTAATTGCTAAGTACTTTTACTCTGACAGACAGCAACAGAAAGCCTGACCAGAAGAGCTCTAATTTCATTTCACCAAAAAAAAGTGAAACAGTCACAGGAGGTGAAAAAGGAATAAATTGAAACACCTGTGTGAAGTGCTACATTTATAATGTGAGATTGCAACTAATAGTCTCTACACACATTTAAACTGTTACAGGTAATTTAAAAGACAAAAGAAAGCCCATAATTTCAATTAAATTTATACTAAACGCAATACTAAACTCCTGTTCAAGTGGATTTAATAGTGCACAGTTTAACTACAATTTGGGACTAACACTTATAATCACAACAGTTTTGCCATTTTTCTCCAACTCAAATACTTAACAAAACCATTTCTCCTCATTCATTAAGTTTCTGTAGTTCAACCTAGTGGTTTTTGCTGCTGTTAAAATGTTAGCCATTCTTCATGCCAAGTGACTAGCAGTGTCTGTGACTCATTATCACCAGAAGATGAATATACCACTGATTTTTGTAATGTTAACATATGAGTAACTTCCAAAATAACTTAATTAGATGTAATATGTAAATCTGGAAAGAAGTAAAGAAACATCAATTATTTGGCAGCACTAACAATTAATCAGCTGCATACCGTGAAATCTGCTGTGATGCTGCAAGAACTCTGCAAGAACATTATGAAATACACCACCCTGCATGTGGGCCTGCTTCCGGTTTGGAATTGACCTGTAACACTAGTTTCAATATCCAATATTCTTGTACAAAAGCAAATTATTACTGTTATCATGACCTATATCATTCCCCTCAGAACACGTCTGCAAAGTAACGGTGTTACTTTACTGCAAAAATGAAGTGCAAGATTCTGAATCCAACATTTCAGCACTTCTTTTCCCATTCAAATTTGTGCTTTCTTTGCCAAGTAATATTGTGTATTGCCCATAACTCCTTAAGAAAGCAGTATGGAAACTGTACTGTGGTTTTAGAGATGGTGCATAGCATTCATGTCAGTATTTTTAATGTGGTCTTGTTTCACAGCTTTGCCAGTTCTCACTTTTAATATGCAGCTTTTAATCATCAGATATACTTCACTAAAATGACGGGCTTTTTCTTAGCTTACATCACAAAAGCAAATAATTTCTTACATAAAAGTGGACTAATACTTAATATTTAAAGTTACTTCTAACTAAGCCGTGAAAAACATCCCATTTCATTCTCCAAGAAACTGTTTTAGAAGTCCATCTCAAAGTTGTTGAGTTTCACAGATGAAAAATTTTCTTTAAAGTTTTGTTAACATATAACTAATAGCAACAATTCCAAGATGTTCAAATATCATGCACACAGCATTCAAAAATTTGGAAATGCCGTTCTTATTTAGTAGAAGAAAAAAAGTTTGTAAAGTCTAGAGGCTGGTTTTCTTACCAACAGAAAAATACATCCATATTCTCAATCAGGCATGCACTGAAAATATTTTCAAAATTAGTTCCTGAAAAATGGGGGTTTAGTAGCCTTTCCATCACACAATAAATCTCCTATTTCAGTAAACAGCAATTCCTTTAAAAAACATGCTGAAAAGGAACTATAAAATATTATCCATGATTAGTTTAGTTATACCCTCTCAGCATGTTACACTTTTTGGCTATTTGAACTGTCATTTGGAAAGACTTTAAAAATACTTTTCAAGATATCATCTGTTTCTTACAGAGCTCCAAGATAAATAAAGCCACCTTGAAATGCAGGCACCCGTAAGCACCTGAGACAACCACTGAGAAGTTGTCCACTGAAGACTTGATACCTTTCTCTGCTTCTCCCATACTTCCAGTTATGCAGTTCCACCTCCAGTGCTCATCAGACACCTCTCTATATGCTGTAACTCACTGTAACAGCAGAAAACTAAAAGCCTTCCTCAGCAGGTGTAAGGAGCAACTTGCACTTTCAGGGAATTAGAGGAGTCCAGTAAGCCCTGACAGTGGCAGGAACAAGAGTATAGTTGGGAGGAATAAAAAGGGTGGATGATAAATGGAAAGAAGGTAATGAACTACCATGTCAGCTCACCAAATACCATGGTAGCCAATAAAAAGTAGCAGTTTCAACGTTATTGCAAAATTCCTTCAACAGGCAGAGAACTTTGGTAACTTCTTCCCCTATTTACAGTTCATTCTCCTCTTTTTGAGGAAAACTTACAAGGGCAAAAGAAACTGAGAACTTAGAAGACGAGTAAAATTAAACTATACCAACACTGAAAAGAAAAAATACCAAATGGCATTTTAAATATTTCTTCTTTCAGACATAAATAATTTCTAAACTACAACAGTGCAATAACAGAACATTAATTATAATAATTTTAAGAAAAAAAGAAGCACTTGGACAATTTAATTCATTTATATTGAAATAAAAGACTGTTCTAAATAAAATGCATAAAACTCACAACTGGTTTGTATTTTTTAAAGTTGACATTTCATTCCTGACTCTCAAATACACAGAAGATAACCTTAAAAATGCTTATGTCTAATTCTACACCACTATGGAACAGAATATCCTGAAGCAGGCAGTTCACCCAGATACATCAGAAAAATTCATTCTTAATTACCAAGTTTTTTTTTTACCATGGTGAATTCTGAGGCTCCCCCAGTATCAGTAGTATGAGGATAGGCAGGGAATCAAATGGATCTCACTACAGTAAGGCTCTTCAAATCAAAATTTTACCTGTAAGCTCACCAAGGCAAAGAACAGGCAGCTTCAACTTCTAAAGCACAGTACAAAATTATGCTCAATGCTCCACAACTACTACAAATTTTAGAGATGTATGAATTTTACATTTCCTGTAACAAATGCAGTCATGAGAAGAGCTTCTAAGATGCAAGTCTGAAAACTGTTTCCTTCATAGCTACAAAACTAAACAGTGTAACCTTCTCAAATGCTTCTGAACGTATACACCTAAAAAGCAGGATGTATCTGAAAAAGACTAGCCATATTTTACTATGAAAACAAAGTGAGAGCAATGAAAAAAAAAAAACACACAAAAAGGAAGACAGGCAAGAGCATGAAAATCAGAACTGAAGAAACCAACTAAAAAAGTAAAAGTTGTGATTCCTTACACTTTTGCTACCTCTTCCAGACTAGTGGTGGGCTCCCACAGAAAGAAGTGTAACACAAGCACAGCAATAAGTAACAGAAGTGACTACATAGTCACTTTGTGCCGTGAGAAATATAAAAAAGATTGAGTGCAGGGACTGTGCTATATGACATGCACAAATGCAGTTGAGGAGGGTGGCATGAACAGCAACATGCTCCAAAGAAGGGGAAAAATATTTGTGTGAACAGGGGTTATTATTTGTGATTTCAGCTTGGACTTACAGAACTCAAAAAAAGCTACTATATCCCATGATAAAAGTACTGTGAGTATGGATGCTTAAATATATCTAGGTGATCATTATAATCCTAGTGCAAAAAAAGTTTTTCTCTACCAAAAAAAATGCCAACCAAAATACACACACACAAAAAAAACCAAAACCACCCCACCCAAAAAAAGAAAAAAATTTAAAAACCCTAACAAACCACCCCACCACACATATCCACATCATTTAATTTAAAGAAATGTATTAAGAGTTGCAGTCAGCTCCTGTGTCAGAGCAGGCACTGCGTATCACCCAAACAACACTACATTTTTAATCAGACAAGGGTACTCCACGTGACATTAACAGAAACACTTGAGTCCAGTGATCTAAACTGAAGTTCAAACTGTAAAAACATCTTTGAGGCTGAAAGTTTCTAGGAATGTTAAATATTACATTCGGCTGCAGAAAGGGGAAAATAACATTCCATAAATGAGAGCCAGGACTACTTACGTTTCAAAACAGCGATCCACGTTGTCTGACATCAGAAGCAGCATGCAGAGCTGTTCCAGTGCTATTAGCTGCATATCCCTTTCATCCCCCTGCCCCATCTGCAGCCATTCCAGCAACGTGTCTGGATCCACATCTGCCATGGTTTTTTATAAAAAAACAAAGCTGCCTCCACTTCAATTAAAAAGTACCCAAAATATCCTTTAATTGTTGAAGCCAGACTAACTTCAGCACAATTAATTTCTCTCTTCAGTCAGCCTCACGCTTTTGCAGTTTTCACCTGGCAAGAAAAAGTAAAAAAAGTAATCATCATCACAATCTTGTTGTTGAACTTTCTGAATTTGCTCCTCTCTAACGTATAGCATATGTTTGGGCTGAATTAAAGAAATTTTCACATGTTTTATCAGCAAATGGGGTTTTTTTCAAGCTTTATAAGCAAGTAAATAGTTATGAGTTTGTTCTGTTTTGAGGATAACTCAAAATTAAAGCTAGAAAAGTCATGCTTAACCGTTTTGTGTATTCTTAAAGCTAAGAGAAAGAAAGTGATGTCTTGCCCATCCCCCTCTTTTAATATCATCTTATTATAAAGTGTTCAGCTTTATGAGAGATGGATTACCTCCTGATGAAAATACCCAAATATAAAAAGATAATGGATTTCACATTTTAAATAGAAATCCATAAAATAAAGGACTGAGATCTACAATTACAGACTTGCAAAATCTCTGGAAACATTTTATGAATCCTTCATCTCTTAAAATAGCATTCAAATATAAGGAAAATAGACTTTTCATGTCAAAGGATAAAAAATGACAACTTAAAAATCTCTTCCATTTTCAAGAGTTGGAAGTTTGTTGGATTATTTGGGGACTTTTTTGAAAAAAAAAAAAAAAATTCATACCTTTCAAAAAAAACCAGTGAATAATTTAAATAATTCACATACATATAAGGAAAACAACATTATTTGCTGCCCCAATGCCACAGTTGTACATGCAAACTGAAGACCAAAAAAGTCCCTTTAAAATGTTAAGATATTTTTGGCATACGTGCCTGCTTTTTACTTTGTGCTTAACAAACACTCAAATTCACCTTCCTTGCCCAAAAACACAATAAACATGACTATTTTCATACAAAAACTAACAGGTTACAAACCAATCTCTCCAAATTAGACATACAAGAAAAATAATACCCTTAAAATACAGCTTAGAGAAGAAGAATTAGTTTATCAAACTGATAGGTAAATATGAAATGCTGGACAGTGTCCCCACAAACAGGGGGGAGGTGATGTGGGAGGAAGAAGCTTAATGTGGACAAAGTCTGCCTACTTGTTTACTTGCTGCTAATGAGTTAATAGTTAAAAAATAACTCCATCAAGGGCATGTCTACAAAAGGGAATCAGAAATTAGTATTATATGAAGAAACATACACTGAATCAGCTGTTTCACAATAGCTTCAAACTCAAAGATGTGACAGAAGTACAACAGATAAGATTTTTATATGATTTAGGACCATAATATTACAGTTCACTCAACTACTGCTTGCCAGTTATATATTTGATGTTATCTTACTCTAAAAAGTAATTTAATATTAGTAAATTGATATTCTGTGTTTTACACAATGCCTATAATTCTCCAAGATGTTTACAGACTGCATTTTCTGCTCTAATCCTATATAAAACTACTTTCAGACAGTAA